CCAGTGTTTTTTAAACTCTAAAACATGAAATGTGGAGTTATCTGCTTTTGCTACAAAACAAACTTTTAATATGTAAAAAAAATAACATACTTTCAATGAACTTTAATTTTGTAAATTACCTGTATTTGTTTAAGTTATTATTACTTAAATCAAAACAACCCATCTGATATTACTTGGAATGTGCAATAAAAAAATGGTGATTTCTGGAGTTATCGGTTTTTGCAAATGAACTCTTCATATTCAGCACACATTGATTCAGGTACAAGCTGTTCTGTGATTTGCTCTGCGGGAGGTTAATTCACATGTTAAACACAGATTGATTGGGCTTATTAGCTTGACACTGACAGAAGGTTACGCGGCGGATCCTGCAGCTGTCTCTCATGTTTACCGGCGAGATCTTCACCGTAAGGGCTTCATCTTGACAGACCGTTTGCTCTTCGGTCTAACGTCAAGTCTAATTCCTTCAAATCAACTCTGTAAGTGTCATAAACCCGAGAGCAACCTGGAAACTCGAAGGTTCGTACCTCAGCATGGGTGATCGGGCGGGGTGAGGCGGCGCGTGGTCTCCGTTCTGCGCTTTCTGCGGTTTTTTGGACACTTGTTTGTAGATGTTTCGTGCCGTGACGCCCAACCAGAGCATCGTGGACAGAGATGAGTAATGCAAGACGATACCGACCTGAAACACAGACAGAAACACACGGCTCAGTGCTTAAAGCACAACACACACTGACACAATCCAGACAGAAATCGCTGTTCTAGCAGCATCTTTGACCATGTAAATACCATGGTAAAATGCAAGATTTTATCAAAATGATCAAAAGTGACAGTAAAGAGAATTATAACGTTACAAAAGATTCCTATTTCAAGATGCTGAAAATTCAGCTTTGATCACAGAAATAAATTACATTTTACAATATATTCTTAACGAAAACAGCTGTTTTACAGTCTAATAATATTTCACAATTTTTACTGTACTTTTGATCAAATAAATACAGCCTCAAAATGCAAACTTTTGAACAGTAGTGTGTATATATACACGTATGTAATACAATTTGTATTTTTAATTACATTTTATTTTAGGGTGACTTGTAACATCTTGTCCAGGGACTACGGATGAAAAATAGCCTTTGGCTACTTCTGGTACCTTTACAGGAATGTTTTATTAATGTACAATGTCCCTGTCAACTAAAAAAAAAAAAAAAGAATTTAATGATAGCAAATAAAACACACTGCCTCTTTAACAGCTTTGTTCAGTGATAATGTTTCCTTTGTCTGTCCTCTATCAACTCAAACACATTAAAAATATCCGCATGAATGACAGTGACATCAAGCATCACGTGAGCAAATGTGACCGAGTATCACTGACGTCAAACCTGATGCATCCAATGGAAACTGCAACAGATTACTGAAACAAGATGAACACTTATTTTACCCAATGTGCATCTCAATTTCAATCCAATAATCTGTCTCAGTAAGATGAGATTGAAATGCTCCAAACATATAATGCAGTGATTGAGAGCTGAAGAAATAAAGGCTCCTCAGAAGATATGAGATGTTCTGGAGGCTTGTGAAGATCATTCCTCCGCTGAGGAACAGTGAAAGTAAAGCTTCTGGAAACAAACGCTCCTCAAAAGATCCTGAGGATCAGATTTGAGACTCTAAAACATGATTGATGGAGAATCAAGTAAAGCTGAGCTGCTTCAGTCCAGTAAGTGTTCATCTGGAGATATTACTGCAGTTATTCTGACGCTTACTTGATCAAAATCAGTCAAGATTTGACACGAGAAGCTCCAGCTGAAGCTGGACGTTTGTACAATTACACTAAAAGAGCTTTGACTGGATAAAACACTCTAAACTATCAATCAGACGACAGAAGACATGCAGGAGATCGAGTGTGAAATAGTAAACTTTATAGAGTTAATCATCAGTTCTGTAAGGAAACACAGATAAATGTTAAGCACACTCAGCTGAACATAACACTAAATACGCCTCCCGTCTCCACTGTCGCATTGTGTTTATTTTATTCATCTGTAATCTAAATTAAATGCTGCGCTGTCATATATTCAGCAGGAATCCCGGCTAAATATAATTTCTCTCATCCACTTACGAGTCGCTGTGTTTGCAGAGACAGCGGATCAAATAATCAGATTTTCTCAGCGTCTGTCTGGGGCTGTGAACACAACATACATGTTCACAAACACTCAGGAGAGAGAGAACAATAACTCAGATCCATATCATCAGGAGAGAATGACTGATTCCCATTACACAGATTACACTTTCCTCCGCCATCCATCACTCGGCCGAGGCCAATCAGAGGCGGCCCGCTGAGATGAATAAATATAAATCTGAGAACGACCTTGAGCCGCGACACCAAAATCCCTGCCAGACCCGGAGCTTAACATCATGTTCAAACATCACAACGTGAGCGATCGTGTGGAAATCTGAGCTTTTGTCCTGTGCAGCGATGACCTTGATGGCATTTTGTCTTTATTTCACTTTGAAATCAAACTGGCCAAAAAACCTGCTCCCCATTACTGTATATTATATACACTGCAAAAAGTGAGTTTTCAAACTTGTAAATAAAATGATGCATGACGACTGACTGTTAGAATAGTTATATGCCTTAAAATTCAAGAAATGAGTGCAAAAATGCCCTTGTATGGGTTTTTGTCGTATATTTATATTATATAATATAGTTTAACAACATCACACAAGTAAAAGTGCTGTTTTCCCGAATAACTGCATGATTGCAAACATGATATTGATTTTATACACTAGTTCAATAAACAAGAGTCTGCAAGTGACACACAGCAGTGATGCATTACTGAATGAATCCTCGTTTTTGAACGAATCGAGTGAGTCAATGATTCAGTGACTCATTCATAAAGACAGTCACTCGCTTTGTTTCTGAATGAATCAGCCGTTTGAACGAATCAAGTGAATGAATGATTCAATGACTCACTCATTAAGACCTACTGGCGCTTTGTTACATATTTAGTGTATAATTTCTTATATATATATATATATATATATTATTATTATTA